GGGCAACTTTATTTATTAACATAAAATTAAAATAACATTTCAGTACAAATAAAATATCACCATACATTACCATCATGGCAGGAAGCATGGCAGCATGCAGGAGGTGGGAGTGGGAGGGAGATAGAGGGAGAGGTTAGGAGAGAGGGGAGAGGAGAGAGAGCCCACCCCCAGTGACACACTTTCTCTAACAAGACCATCCCTAATCCAGTTTCCTCCTACCAGAGTTCCACTCTGTTCTTATTGAAACCACATATCTTAAAAAAAAAAACTTCATTAACAAGGCAATAAACAGATCAGATAAAATATGACATGGTGATACTTTTTTTTTAAAATAAAGATTGCTTGTTAGAGTGTATTAAATGTAGACTAGTTATACTTCATATGTCTAAGTTGTCCACAGAAAAGTGTTAAGTAGTTCAAACACATGGACAGTAGATTCTAAAGATTTCTGTATCCATCCATTACTCTTGAGGTGAGGATGAAACCGACACTCTGTGCTCTTACAGTGATGTTGGTGTTGTAAATGGTGACAGCCTTCCTGCAAGAATTGGACTATATGTCTGGAGTTTATAAAAATGTTTAAAAAACATTGTTGGAGGTTATTTGACAGTTTGGAATTTATTGTTTGGTTTGTCTGGGGTGGTGTGTGTGTTTGTGTGTGTGTGTAGGTCAGAAAAACTTGTGAAAGTCAACTCTTTCCTATCAAATGGGTCACAAGGATGAAACTCAGGTTGTCAGGCAGGTGAATCCCAGATCTACCAGCCTTGTGAATTTTTTTTATTTAGACTCACATGAATTTAGATCTGGGGTATTGTCTATATTAGTGTATCATGGGTAGGCAATTTGAGTACTTCCTCTGGGCAGGTGCTCTTTACAGTAAGGACCTTCGTATTTACTCATTTGCAGTCACCAGCATCCTCTGGAAGTAGGTAAGGAGGTGGTGCTATGGTCGCTCGCATTTTGTAGGAACTGAGGAGAAAGGTGTTAGCGTCCCAAAGTCATGTGGAATGATAACTGCAGAGGTACACCCATGTAGATGTAACCAATCGTATTATTAAAATAAGAAACACAGAGCCAAGGTAAAAGAGAAAAGCCGAGAGGTCAGA